TTTGTGAGTTGTTTTTTGTGAGCTGTTCGTTTGTTAGTTGTTTTTTGTGAGCTGTTTGTGAGTTGATTGTTTGTGAATTGTTCATTTGTGAGTTGTTTTTTGTGAGTTGTTTGTTTGTGAGTTGATTGTTTGTGAATTGTTCATTTGTGAGTTGATTGTTTGTGAGTTGATTGTTTGTGAGTTGATTGGTTGTGAGTTGTTCGGTTGTGAGTTGTTCGGTTGTGAGTTGTTCGGTTGTGAGTTGTTCGGTTGTGAGTTGTTCGGTTGTGAGTTGTTTGGTTGTGAGTTGTTTGGTTGTGAGTTGTTTGGTTGTGAGTTGTTTGGTTGTGAGTTGTTTGGTTGTGAGCTGTTTCCCAGCTGGCTGCTGCAGGGCAGGACAGGAGGGATCTCAGGGAATCTCAGGTACTCACTGGTTCAAGTAAAAGCCGCGGGTGGAGGCGGTGATGCTGACGTGCCGATCCTCCACCGTGATCACGTACAAATACATCAGATCCCCGTGCATTTTCCGGTTACCGGGGGGAGGGTTCCAGCCACTCATTGTCAACACCTTTAGGCACTGCAAAGGCTACAGCAGAACACAACACAAGCAACTCCTGTCAGCAGGAATTCATTWCTTTGAGTTAGAGCCATTCAATGTGCACAACAGAACCCTTTTACCTGCTGCCCTAGCTCGACTCCAGAACAGAGCTCACAAACACACCCAGTCTCCAGAGCACAGCTTCCCAAACCCTCTGCATCCACCATGCCCTTCACACATTGGTGAGATTGGGTGAAAACAGACACCCTGGGCCTTTGGGCCGCACAGGGAATGCATTTCTTGCTGTGCTTGTTTGCAAATGGCAGCTTCTAAAGCAGAATCTGAGTGGGAGGGCATGGGAAAGCTCAGGGCAATCTGTGGTGATGCACAGATCCTGTCTCCAGGATTTGCAGAGGAACTCTGCTTTCTGTTCTCTGCCCCCCATCCCAGCAAGCCTGGCCCTTCACACTCTGCAGATGTCCAGATCCATGGCCAGTGTTTTGCACACCAGCTCCTGGACTTTATTCTTTTGGCTAAGCAGTGCTATCCCAGCACTTGTTAAGCACCAAGCAAATCCCAAAGTCCACTTCAGCTCAGCTTTCAAACCCTGACCACCAGTTTGCTGTGAGGAATGTGCCAACAGCTGTTTCAATGCCACAGGAGAACTCTACCTTCCAGTCTCTGTTCTGGGGCTGAAGGGCACACAGGGGCCTCTCTTTGCTACCTGGCAGGATATGTTCAGGAGGGGTGCAGTCAATTTGTTCCATTTCTGTACCTTTCTTCTTCCGTTTTCCACTGTCTGGAATGGACAGAGACATAAAGTCAGTTCTGAAATGTGCAGCATTCCCTCCTCCTGTCATCATTCAGGGAGGATGGAAGTATCATTCCTCCATTCAGGGAGGAAGCAGAAGTGCTCYAAATGTTCTCTGCAGTCCCAAATGACACAGGATAGCTTTGGGAGTCAGGGAATGAGAGCCCTGACCACAACAAAGAAGTTTTTGCCCCATACCTCCCAGGTCTCCTTCAGTGAAGACACTCAGGAAGGACAGGGARTTACAGTCCACACCATTGAAGGCATCTGATGGGTCCAGACTCTTCAGCAGGTCCCGAATGTGGCGCACGTGGATCCTGGCTTCTCGCACTGTGTACGGCTCTGAGGAGTGAAAAGTGAGGGGAGGAACTGCAATTACACTGCTGCTTTCTCCTCTGGCACATGGTGTCAGAACAGAACCACAGCAAGGGGTGACAGCAGTCAGAATCACTCCCTCAGCAAACCAAACCCTGGCTCATTCCCTCCCTCTCTGAAGGAACTTGCCTTCCACCACTTTGAGCAGCGAGCCCTCCTGCAGCCCTTCAATGGTCTTCAGCTCAGCAAAGTTATCCAGGACGTTGCCATCCAGCTGCAGGGAGAAGCAGGTCCGATGGCAGGTATCCTCCCGATCCATCAAAACCTGATGGATTTCTTGCACCATCTCTTGAGGAGAAACCTTAAGAAGGTAAGAACTCAGACAATTATTCTTTCCACTCCCACATGTTCCTGCCAAAGTTCACCCCCCCTCAGCTGCAATATCAGGTCTGGAAAGGCAGACTGGAGCTCCCTTCCCAGGAGGATTATTTGTGCTCCTGCTGGAGGGCACTGTCACCTCTGGCAGGGCTCAGCCACCCGAGCTGTGCCCACAGAGCTTGGCACCCACAAATGTGACAGCCAGGACTGCACCACGAGTGACAGAGGGCACTGAAAGAACAGAAGGTGTGGGGGAAACAGAGGGTTCTTCCCTAATCCATTCCCATCTGCAGTGAGGTGGTGAATGATGCTCATGGAAAACAGCCCCATTTCCTCCTCCTGCTGACACTGTGTGTCTGTGCCACACCTCCACAGGCTCCAGACCYGCCCTGCCCTGCTCCCCCAGCTCTGCTCAGCACCCCTGAGTGCTCACAAACCCTGAGAGTCAATGCAAACTGCTGTAAACAACACGGCCTGCTATTATTAGCCTATTAAAACTAACAGCCAGGGGATTTAAAGGACTCAAAAAGCCAGGCTGAGACACTGCTGCTTCCTCAGGGAATGGGGTTTTCCTACACTCTCTGCCAGACTTGGGGAGATAAGAACATCCCACTGGGTTTAGATTGCACATGCCTTCCCCAAAATTAGGGATACTTCATCCAAATATTTTTTATGAAGTATCAAACTAAATGGGATTAAGAACCAGGCCTGCCAAAACCCATTCTGATCTGGCATCGTGTCACTGTCCACGACATGAGCAGAGCTCTCCACAGAGGGAAATGGAGACTGAACAGTTCCCTTGGTGTTCAGGATGTGCTTGAGCTCCCTGAGCTGTGCTGGCACTGKCACTGTCACTGTCTCMAACCCAGAAYGGCCTGAAGCAGCATCCTGTCCCATCTGCTGAGCAAGCAAGGCATTTTCCCTTCTGAGAGTCAGGCCCAGAAATGTTTCCACAACACTTCTGTAAAAAGGCTATTCCCCTGTGCTCAGTGATGCACAAAGAGCTACAGCTCAGCAACTGCTCCACCCCTGGGATCCAGAATGAAACGCCCTCCCTGTCCTTGCAACGCCCAGGCARGCCTGGCCTAGGCAACCTTTCCTCATGTCTCCTCTTCCTTCATTTCTCTCCAAGGCACTGGCCAGGCAGGCTCTCTCCTGCAGCCTCCATCCCCCCTTAGTCCTGGTCAGAACACAGGGAGCTGTGAGCAGCCTGGAGGTGCTGTCCACACTGGGGGCTCACAGGGACCATCCCAGGCACTGCCTCCTTCCCTGCCTGAAGGGATGTGGCTCTAATGGTTCCCACCACCCCATCCCAGGCACTGCCTGTCTGGATGAAGGGATGTGGCTCTAATGGTTCCCACCACCCCATCCCAGGCACTGCCTGTCTGGATGAAGGGATGTGGCTCTAATGGTTCCCACCACCCCATCCCAGGCACTGCCTGTCTGGATGAAGGGATGTGGCTCTAATAGCTCCCACCACCCCATCCCAGGCACTGCCTCCTTCCCTGCCTGTCTGGATGAAGGGATGTGGCTCTAATAGCTCCCACCACCCCAACCCAGCACTGCCTCCTCCCCTGCCTGTCTGCCTGAAGGGATGTGGCTCTAATATCTCCCACCACCCCATCCAGCACTGTCCCCTTCCCTGCCTGTCTGGATGAAGGGATGTGGCTCAAATAGCTCCCACCCCATCCCAGGCACTGCCTGTCTGCCTGAGGGGATGTAGCTCTAATATCTCCCACCCCATCCCAGCACTGCCTTCTCCCCTGCCTGTCTGGATGAAAGGATCTGTCTCAAATAGCTCCCACCCCATCCCAGCATTGCCTCCTTCCCTGCCTGTCTCGCTGAAGGGATCTGGCTCTAATGTCCCCCACCACCCCATCCAAGGCACTGCCTCCCTCCCTGCCTGTCTGGATGAAGGGATGTGGCTCTAATATCTCCCACCCCATCCCAGCAATGCCTCCTTCCTTGTCTGGATGAAAGGATCTGGCTCTAATATCCCCCACCCCATCCCAGGCACTGTCTGTCTGCCAGAAGGGATGTAGCTCTAATATCTCCCACCCCATCCCAGCACTGCCTCCTTCCCTGCCTGTCTGGATGAAGGGATCTGTCTCAAATAGCTCCCACCACCCCATCCCAGGCACTGCCTCCTTCCCTGCCTGTCTGGATGAAGGGATCTGTCTCAAATAGCTCCCACCACCCCATCCCAGCACTGCCTCCTTCCCTGCCTGTCTGGATGAAGGGATCTGTCTCAAATAGCTCCCACCACCCCATCCCAGCACTGCCTGTCTGGATGAAGGGATGTGGCTCAAATATCTACCACCACCCCATCCCAGCACTGCCTCCTCCCCTGCCTGTCTGCCTGAAGGGATCTGGCTCTAATATCTCTAATATCTCCCACACCTCTGCTCCCTTTCCCCCTGGCAAGGGCAGGTACCTGCAGGGAAAANCTCTGCTCCCTTTCCCCCTGGCAAGGGCAGGTACCTGCAGGGAAAAGGGCTCTATCCCTGGWGCACAGATCTTGACAGTAAATCCCGTATCCTGTATGACGATGACCTCCTGGTCGTTCCCATCTTCTCCTGGGTCAGCCTCCTCGTGGCCATTCTGCCTGGCATCCTTTTCACCCTTTAGGCTGTCATGTGGGCCGCTGCCATTCATCAGTGCCACGCCAGACGGGTGCTCTGGGCAACAAGAGAGGGGTTAGGACAAGATGGGACACTGGCCAGCCCCACGCAATGGGGGGTTAAAGGGCAGGAAGGGTTTTAYTCTGCACTGCTGTTTACCAGACACAGGCGTGCCTTTCCTCACAGCATAATCGAGGAGCTCTCGCCCGCCTGCAGCATTTGCATCTCCCACAAACCATGTGCAGAGCGGGGAGGGAAGGAGAGCAGGAAGGATRGGTCAGGGTACACCACACTGAGCTGTCTTAAGAAGCCTCTTAATTAAAAAAAAAGGGGTGTGTGGTGCTTGGCAGCCTGGAGGCAGCTGTAACCCCTGCACCAACACGTTATGGAGCAGAGCAGAGGGAGGTGAGCAGCACTGCTGCACATCACGTGGGAGCCCGGTTACTCCACTGCACACAAACAGCTCCCACGCCCCTGCCCGCATTTGGCCACCCTCACATTTCCAAAATACCTCGCAGAGATCCCGTGGTGCCAGGGCGAGGCTTTGCCTAAGTCATTTTATTCAAGAAAATGGTGACGGTATTTTAAGGTTTAGACAGATGCGTCACAGGGCTGGGGATCTCTCTGCACCTACTTCATCGCTCTGCAATGGTTTGTTTTCTTTTCCAATAAAGTGGATAGTGTCAGAGAGCTGAAAAGATCTAGGAAGCTGCTGGTCTCCCAGAGCAGCCTACATATCTGAACCAGGCTGGGGACCACACTAAAAAAAACTTGAGCAGCTGCTCCAGGAGAAATTAGAAGAGTGGAAAGAGCCACTGATGGCAACTCTGGGAGAGTTGGGAGAGTGCCTCAAGGGCACCACAGCATCCCCCACACCTGGAGAACAAGAGGCACTGTGTCCCTGTCCCGTGCTGTGTGCTCCCAGCACACTCAGCTGCACTCCCAAGGTCACACCCAGCAGCTCCAGCTCGGTGCTGTCAGGCACCCRCTCACAGGCAGCACAGATGGAGCAGGAACAGCCTCCCCAGGCAGCAGGAACAGCCTTTCTGRAAGGCTGCACAGGGTCAGCACAGCTCCGAGCCAGGCTAATGCTCCAGGCTGCAGCCACTCCAGTGGCAGGTCTGTCCCAGCAAGGCACCAGTCCCCATTTCAGAGCTCCCCTCACCTCACACACTGACACTGTGGCTCCAGGACCCAAAGCTGTCACAGTTTGCTCTTCCCCACCAGCCCCAGCTGCTCCTGCAGCCCAGAGAAGTCCCCCAACCTTCACCATAACCCAGAACAGGGATGGCAGCACCCTCATCCCCCTGCACACCTCTGGAGCACAACATGAGGCTGCAAAAGCATCTCTGGAGCATCATCCCTGCTCCAGACACAACTGCCACCAGCAAACCCTCAGAGATGACTGGCAGGGCTGACTTAGGACACGGTGAAAGGGTAAAAAACACAACAAGAGTGCACCCATTCCAAGAAGCAGGAGGCAGCACAAGTACCTGGCACAGCCTGTGCTGCCTTCCCCAGCTCAGCAGTGCTGCTCCTGTTCTCATGTTCTCATGTTCCCTGTCACTTTGTGTATGGCCCCAGCACTCACTGCTCATTTCTTTGACAGATGAAGCCACAGGCGAGTCAGACGAGAGGCCTTTCATACTAGAAAGGAGGAAGAAAAGCTCCACACAAGAGTGCCTCTAGAGATGTGGTTTCAGAAAAACCACACCATGCCCAAAGGGCTGGGGAGAGCCCCTTGTCACACCCTTCAGCCAGCACAGCCATACTCCTGGACTGCCTGGGCACGTGGGGAGCTGGAGGGAGTGCAGAAAAACCACCAGGAAATGCTGTACCTGGGGCTAATGGTGCTGCAGACAGGATGGCCTGCCAGGACCTAAGCCAGGCTTAGCCCAGCCCTGCCCACCCAARCAGGGCAGGATCACTGAACTGCTGTTTGGCTGAAAGGAAGGCTGGCATTGCAACCCCTGCACATGCTGGTCTGGAACACAGCAAACACCTTCAGCAGCAAAACAAAGTGAGACAGGAAAATCTGAACACAGCAAGGGAAAGTCACCAGCCAGGACCACACCTCTGCCTTTCACTGCTCAGTGGTGTCACAACCCCA